TTTATTATTGATTATTTATTGTCAATTGTATAATTAAATATTTGTGTAATATTATTTCTAATAAATATTGATCATGATAACTATATATTAATTATTATATTCAACAATAACAAATATATATATATACAAGTTATTTAATCGACAATGAATTAAAATATAGACGATATATCGATCCTTAACAAGATAATTCATTAAAAAACAAAAAGAAAAAAAACAGAAGTTGAATTCTCAATTGAATTTTCGATATAGAATTTTTCTTTTTAATAAAATCTACGTTGGAACTAAATCTTTGATTAGATTTGAAAAATTTTCATTAAAAAACTCTAGTCAAATAAATCAAATCTTAGTTGAATTAATCAAAATTGAATTTATTTATTAGACTCTTCTCTTTTATGTAATACAAAAACAAATAAGAATATTTGTCTACAATTAAATAAATACATAAGAACCATTTTTATATTTCGACCAATTTTATTTAACTTAATTGAATAATAAAATTTATTTATTTATTCAAACATTTTTTTTCTCTCATATTATGTAAATATATGAAATCAATAAATATTTAGTAAAATAGTTGTTAGTTGACCTATTCAAATAAACAAGTAATTAACATATTAAATAAATTAATAAAATTTGTTAAATCTAATTGAATTGAAATCATATGAATCATATTGAAATTTTTTTCTTTTTTTTTAAATAAATAAATTCTAGGTGCAAATAATACAGTACGAACGACTCGAACTCGAACTGACGATGGTAAATTTTTAACAACTATTGCAACAATATCAAAAATAAATAATTCAAATGAGAATCAAGTTAATATTCTTATTAACAGAAATGAAAAAAATCTCTTTTTTGGTCAATTAACAAATAATTCTATTAAACGAACATTTTCCGATGATTCAAATTCAAATTGTTTAACAAAAAAAGTTTTACAAATTGAAAAAGATCGACAAAAAATTGAAGAATATTGACTTTTTCTTTATTTTTTTGATTATTTTATATTTGACATTTATTAACAAATAAATATAAGAAAAAAAGAACAGTTTGCTAATTTAATATGTATGTATGGATTGTTTCAACATGAATAAGAACTTCAATCTATGGTCTATCCTAGGAAAAAAGAAACAGCTGATTTAGTTGAAGAGTAGCAAGAGGAGATCAAGGAAATGTTATTTGCCGTTTTATTCATACATATTTTGTACCTTTATTACCATCTATACATTGTCCACATGTTGATTCAACTGAAGGAGAAGCATGTACTGATAAAACAATCGACTTTTATTATAATCAACCAAATTTTCTGGCTTGTGCTCATAAACAATAATAATCAAATAAAATCATGTTCTTTTTTTTTCAATTTAAACTTTAAATAATAAATTGATATCATTCATAAATAATTACTCGAAAACTAAGATGTGTGAAGTCATGAGAAGGATGTAAAACTGATTTGGTAATTCGACTTGATAACTGTACTTCTTTATTAACTTAACATAATCTAATTTCAATATATTTATTTATCAGTTGATCAGAATTTTCTACAAAGTATTTGTTGAGAAATAACTATGTGGAAAACAAATGTCATAGATTCATAAAAACTGAGAACAAAATTACATTATTCAAATTTCTATACGAGTCATTTTTCATCATTATATAATCATAGAAATCACAATAGTATACATCTTTAAGAAAGTATAGTTGACAGTAGTGTCTTATTATTTTGTTTAATTTCTTTTCTTTTTCATTATTCTGTCATGTTACATATGTGAATTGAAAATAAGATTTTACAAATACTTTGATTTATTTTTCTTTCATTGAATGTTTTATCTTTTTTACTGAAAGTTTAAAAGAATTTATTGAGGTAAAACGTTCTAAAAATAAAAAAAAAATGTGGCTTTTTAATGAAAGTGAAGAAGTTACCATAACTAAGTTCGACCTTGCTTGAAAATCTTATAAGATAGTTTATTTATTTGTAATTCAAAAAACGAATCTTAACAAGATATATCTTCAATTTTACACAAAGAATTTGTTCTCTGAGACATGAAACAGTGAAATGAATAAAAAATCATATTGTAGAGTGTGTTTTACTGTATCTTTTCATCATAAAGACAAATTTTACAAGTATTTATTTCACAAAGAAAATTTTAATATTCAAATAATGTGTACATGTTCTTTATTGTGTTTTCTGGATGTTTTTGTTTTTTGTTAACAAGTAAAAAGCTTCTCGTGAATTTTCAACTACAATACTGAGTTTTAATGGGTAGTTTCGTCAAGAATAGAAAACAAGTTATAAGCATAGTTTCTTCTTTTTGCATTACAAGAATTCTTGATAAAATAATGTAAACAAATCTTTTTATGAAGTCGGTGCTAGTAGCATATTTAGAAATACGAATGATAACAAGAAAGACAAATACAACGATCAATAACAACAGCAACTAAAAATTGATACAGAAACCGTTTCGAATTATTTCGGAGCAAAACTTTTATCGTTGACCCATTGAAAAAGATCCCTAAATATGATTCACCATCAAGTGATGATAGTACAACATCAACAATTTATTAATATGAGTTGAAAATTTTTATTTAAAATAAATATGTTCTAAAAACTCTGAATATCAGTCCTTAAAATTAGAATAACCATTATGAAAACAGTAATCTATTTCTTTGAAACTATCATCTATACCTGATAAATCATGACAAATAATAACTATCAATTCAACATCAATATCTTTATCATAAAGACTTATTATCAATCAAGTGATATTTCGAAAAGAATTCATATATGAAAACAAATATATGTTCCAAAATATTTTACAATAAAGCTCGTTTAGTAATTAATTAATGTAGAGCTTCATTAAAAACTCAAACATGTACATGTCTTGTAACGCGATTTAACATCAGATATACAAGATGAATAAACCATACGTATTCTTAAATGTTGTTTGAAATTCATTGATGAAAATTGTGCGGTATACCTGAAAATGATGTCAAAGTAAAGAATGAAATTTCCGACATGTGAATTCAAACAATAATCATTGAAATGAATTGTTTTTGTTTTCTTCTTTTTTTTTTTAGTCACTGAGTTACGACTGTGAATATAATGTAAATAGAATAAGTACATATTCATCGTCGACTGACGATAAATTGATCGTCGATGATTATCTATTAATCATTATCATTGAATGATAGTTCATGTTTTTCAAATATCCTATATAAGGAATGATTTTCTTGTATAAAATCATTCAATTCAATCGATCTATTGTATCAACAATAGATTGAATAAGTATTCTCATAAATCTTATTTTTTTTTCAGGAGGTGCAAGATACAATTATGTACATAATTATGATATTTATACATATATATATTCCAATCTTAAATAGGGTATGTTGTTTCTTTTTTTTTTCGTATTGGGATAAAAAATTTATAAATAAGTTGAAAAGTTCTATTGGCCACTAGAACTTTTCAAGTTATTTTTTTCTTTCATACTTGTGTTATTATGTAGAGAGGGAGATAGATACTATTTTATATCACAGCCCGTCAGATGGCTTCGTAATCTGACCCAGGAAGATTTCTTGTGCCTATGTTGGCGAAAGCAGTGGAGTACTCGGGAAGGCCGTCTGTTCGTAGGTCCCTGTCGCCGTTTACGTACGTCACATCTATGATCATGCCCTACCAGCCCGGCGTGGTCCGCTCTGCGTGTACCCATTGCGGGCTTACAGGGAGTCTTCCTGGTCGCGCGCTCGCTTACGCGAGAATGAGCCGAGAAAAGCCGGAAAAGTGAAGTGAATCGAAATTCAAATAAATTTCTTAAGCAAATCGAAAAACAGTTACATTCTCTTTTTTATTTTGTCAATCGCCTTTGTGACCGATTCAATATGAGGATGGTTTGGTGGAAGTGATTTATGGTAAATGCTAAGTGATTTTTCTAGAAACGAGAGTGCTTTTGAGTATTGATTCATTTTCTCATAAATCGAACCCAGGTGCCAGAACGACATAGCCAAATCTGGATGATTCGAAGGCAGAGCTTTTTTTCTTATTTCAAGTGATTTTTCGTAAAATTCAAGTGCTTTCGAGTAGTCACCCATGTTATTATACACTCCACCGATGTTGTTGTATGAAGTAGCCAAATGAGGATGATTCGAAGGCAGAGCTTTTTTTCGTATTTCAAGTGATTTTTCGTAAAATTCAAGTGCTTTCGAGTAGTCACCCATGTCGCTGTACACTCCACCGATGTTGCTGTATGAAGTAGCCAAATCAGGATGATTCGAAGGCAGAGCTTTTTTTGTGATTTCTAGATCTTTTTCGTAAAATTCAAGTGCTTTCGAGTAGTCACCCATGTCGCTGTACACTCCACCGATGTTGCTGTATGAAGTAGCCAAATCAGGATGATTGGAAGGCAGAGCTTTTTTTCTTATTTTAATTGATTTTTCGTAAAATTCAAGTGCTTTCGAGTAGTCACCCATGTTATTATAGACTAGACCGATGTTGTTGTATGAAGTAGCCAATGAGGGATGATTCGGAGGCAGAGTTTTCTCGTCGATTTTAAGTG